TCTCAAACCCCAGAATGTCTCATCTGTGTATCGGGACGCCTTGAGGAAAGTCCATACCTTCAGGAGGGATCAGGCTCCCTCAGTCGATAGTAGCGATGTTAGTGATTCAGGACCGGACGACGAACAGGACACAGACTTGGTTGGACTAGCTCTGCCCAGACCAGAAAGGGCCAGACCTCTGACAAGGTCAGACAGGACAGGATCAGACAGCGGAGTGACTAATGTATTGGAGACCTTAGGAACCAATAGACTGAGCTCAGATAGCTCCGAGCCATTAGAGACAGCTGATTCGGAAACCCCTGATGATGACGGCTACTATATGACGATTCCCTCACCGCCTGTCGTTCCTCGAAGGTCGAGCAGAAGGCGTCAAGCACCTCAACGTTTTTCCCCTTAACCCATGCTGACCAGTAACCCTACTCATCCACTAGCGATTGATCCTACCCGTTTTGTTTTAGGCGGCTGGTGTATTTGGTCTGGCTACTGCTGTTGTCCCGAGACGTCGGAGGGGACCAAAACCAGGCGAAGATGCAACTTCATCACGGGGTGTACTTCCAGCCCCTGGGTGAAGTAATAATCACGGGTTCTGACTGGACAATCTGCACCACCATCAGCTTGGTGACGTATGAGCAAGCCCATACCTCCCTCCTGGAACAGATATCTCGGGTAGAGCAGCATCTACAAGCCGTGAGGGGCCAGGTCGAGTCCGACAAAGTTCCGGTGATAGACGCATTGACGGCCACGTGGAAGAAATTCTCCACCGCCTTCAAAGAGGACCTTAGCGCCTACCAACAAACTCTCAATTCTGTTAAACGAACTATCCGGGAGAATGACGCCCGGCAACGTCGCGGCTTAGTTAACATCGTAAGTGACGTTGGAAAATATTTGTTTGGATTTAGTACCGAGAGAGACATTGAAAGTCAGTCGGCACAAATCGCTTCACTGGCCAACCAAACTGAAAACATATCTCACCGTGTTGACCAACAGTTCAGTTATGTTAAAACTGTAGCTTCACAAACTCTCCACAACGGAGAAGAAGTCATTCGAATCAAAGCTTCAATTAACGGGGTGACAGCCGCTCTAAGCCAAATTCAGACTGTGGACAGTCGGCTCAATATAGGAGTGGCACATGCTACCGCAGGATTAGAACTTGTGATAGCGACCGACTTAATTCGCGAGGGTTTGGCCCAGTCACAAAAGGGTCTTTATACCATACAGCGCATTGTTGCCCAAGCAGGTGAAGGAGCTCTAGCCTGGGAACTACTGGAGGATAAGGTCTTCAGAGATATCCTGTTAAACTTAGGACAACATCTTCCAGTCGGATGGAAACTTTTGTATGAAACAGACGACCATTATTCCTACCTTCGTTACATAACCACAGAAACCCACCAAACGGAGGGCGGGGTCAATTTTTGCATGGCGATCCCAATCATCAAGGAGTCTGGTAGGTATCAGCTCTACGAAGCCATCGCAATGCCTGTGGTTCACCCGAAGTTCCCGGAGAAGCTCTTCTTTTCTTACCGATTTGACTCCCCTTATTTGGCCATTCAGAAATCAGGATCCGATTTTTTCACGACTCAGCCCGGCAGTCCAGGCAACTTCTTCACCATGACAAACCGTCGCGAGGCACAGTGTAAAGGAAAAAGCCCTAGGGTTTGTGCGCTCAAGGAAGCAGTACAGTCGCCTCGATCTCAAGAAAGCCGTTGTTTGTATGATCTGTTTTCAGACCAGCCGACCGGAACCAGCTGCCCGGCACAGGTGCAATACCACGATGGGCCGGTGTTTCACCACGTTGGTATGGGAGTGTGGTTATATGGAGCAGCAAAAGGAACGCTACTGGTCCGCTGCTCTAACCAGAGCAGGACGAGTGCTCCTCACCACCCCGCCGGGCAATACGAGCTGACCGGTACCGGTATGTTCCGCTTACAGCCGGGATGCGAGGCATCCCTTGGGTCAATTAGGGTTCCCAGTTACGTCAACGGTAAGGGGCAATTCAAGATCAGTCTGCCGGATGCACCGATAGTGGATCTATTTTCACTCAATTTTTCCATGAGTCTCTGGAGTAATATAACCTCAATGTTGACTCCTCCCGTAAATATCTCGTCCTTCTTGAGCCATCTCACTGAAACCACAGACATCAGTAAAGATGCGATGAGACTCCGAACCTTTAACAAAACCATTCAGCAGTATGAGGCGCTCCAGAATCAATTGTCTCCCTATCATCCCTACAGATGGATATCGAGCCCGCAGAGCCAGATCACCGGATACACTGGTCTACTTACATTGAATCTAGTGACCGTTCTGCTGCTGTCCATAGCGATATGGAAGCTACATCGCCGAGTAAAGGACCTGATGGGTCCGCCGACCGATGCTCCAGAAAGTCACCGCCTTGTGAGGTCTCGACGTCGGCGACGCCGAGCCATGGACGTTACCGTGTAAGACCCCCTTGAGACGACGACGGGAAGTGCTCATTTGCCAAGGTCTAGCAGATGGTCGGCTATATTCTGAGTCGAGGTGAGTGCAACGATCAATTGGGAGCTCGTTGGCGCTCTAAAGCTGCAGAGGGCTTGGAGTATCGACTTGACTAGTCTTGAGACGAGATCCATGAGGATCCGAAACGTCATCACCAATTGATGAACGTAGAGTGTGCAGACCAGATCGCTTCGGTCCAGAACCGTCTCGAATCTTGAGCTACGACATAGCCATGATGTTCACCATCAACCGGCCCCTCTCGATGCCCTCAGGTACTCGCATTGGCACCGGTGGCAGTCGGCTCAACAACGGTATCTAGGATACCAAAAGGGTCCACACCGAACCCCCGACCTCTTGGCTGACAGGTTGACTTCATCCCCAGCAGTCTCTTAGTAGCCCTTTTGCTCTCGGTTGGATTCCGAGTACCACCCGACGACGAGAAACAGCGCCTCTGTTACAACCAAGGCAAACGATCACAGCACCCCTCGACTCAACCACCCCGAAGTAAGTGGCAATCCAAGCAGATGGTCGGTCGGTACAACTGTAAATCGCTTAACATCTGGCTCCAACGGGTATCCAAAACTTGTCCTCCCTAGACGGTCCCACAAATCCTAAAAATCGGTCAACACAAGAGGAATATGGTTCCCAGATGATTCAGATTAGCATGTTTTATTTTTGCAACGGAGGATATATTCATTATCGGTAATTAACTGACTGCAGGTAATTGGCCACAGAACTACCCAGCTTCATTATGTTGGTATACCTATTTCGATCGAGTTGAAGGCGCAGTTAAAATTGACACTAAAACGATTCTAAGGGCAAGATGCACAGCACCGGTCAGGGTCTTGGCAAATAGTGCTCTCTTCCGGATATCTCCAGGCATCCTTTGTAGCTGTCCTTACTTCCTACCAGGCATCCTCTGTAACTGTCCTTACTTCCTATCCACAAACAAGACATGACTAGACAACCCAGGGAGACCCTAGACAGCAGAGCAGACGCATCGACGACTATTACACCCCAAAGGAGGAAGTCAGATAAACTTTATAAAATAGGGAGGGATGTGAGAAAATATCGCTTCGGTCTCCTAGCTGAGCGGCGGAACTGTGTGGAATTGTGTGTACTGATCAGCCTTGCAGATTAGATGCACCGACCACTCGTTACCTTCAGCCGTGCGCCACGCCGGAGCGAGGAACCCGTCCCTGGCAGAGGATCAAAGGAAGACGAATGACAATGTGAAACCTGTTTGTGTGGTGGTGGATATGCGTAAAGGAGATTAGAAGCAGACAATAGCACAAAATAACGTAGTGTGGTGGTGGAACAATAGCGTAGGGATAGACGGGTGAAGGTTAGACCGAGATACGCGTGGGCTCGTAAACAGCGGGGGACTGGAGAACAATCGATAATGTATAGAATGTCATTATAAAAACGGGCGTGCAAGAGCTACTAACGACTGTTGGTGGGATATAAAAGAGCTCTCCTTCAAACCGGGGACACTCTCTCTGCAGTCCGAAACACTGTGCAGTGCTCCGACTCGGCGGTACGCTCCACCAGCAACCCCACAATGTAAGTCGTGAATTGCATTACCTTTGGTCGGCCGTGCCGACCAAAGGTGAGGTAATACCTCATCCCCACTAACGTTCTCTATTTACAGATACTGATTCCGGCGACAACAGGCCCAGGCTATTCACCGAGCTACCCTAGTATTCTTTACAGGTTTTACAGTTTCCCCTAGCACTTTCCACAGGTCCATAGTACGTACGAGGTGAACCGGGCCGATGAACTACACGGCGTTATCGTGTCCGTTTAACTTCTTCCTTTTACAGAGCGCAAGACTACGGCCTACGGATGGAGCCACCAACAAACACTCCCCCGATGCCAAGGCTCAGCTTTACCCGCCCCAAACCACCGAAAAGCTCGGTACATAATCGAGCGACCAATAAGCGCTCTACACTTTGGTGATTCTGCCATTTTGGTTTGGCACTGTTTCGGCATTCTGTTTCGATTACTTTTGGCACTGTTTTGGCAACTTGTTCGGCACTGTTTCGGCCCATTCCGTTCCGAATACTTGTTCGGCACTGTCTTGACACTGTTTCGGTCATTCTGTTTTCGGTAACCTTGTGCTTCGGCATATTGTTCGGTTATGTGTTTTTAGCACTCTATTTCGGCCACCTTTATTTACTACCACGGTAACATATACCGTGTATTCTCAAGCCTGAATCCGCCCTTTTTGGCAATGTTTACTTTTTGGCTTCTACGGACTCCAGGCATTGTTCAATCATTGACGTTTACCCTTTCGGCCTGTTTGAATATATTTTATCCCACTGTACGTGTCTTTGTGTGATGGTGTGATGAAGGGAATGGAGGGATATGATGTGACGAAGGGAGACAGGGCTTCGGAGGGGTCGGGCGGAGACCAGCGGGGCATGCGTACAACACGGTGTGCAGCAGAGTCGGTATCTACAAATCCCCTAGACGTAACTAAACACTTGAGGCAACAACTGGGTACACACAGGGACCACTTAAATCACAACTGTGAAGTTGGACGCTTGAGCCTGACGGCTACACGCCACAAAGAATAAGAAGGGACAGTAATATAAATAATGCCCTCTGTGATGCTGATGCCATTGTAGCCCTCAGAAGAAGACCTCAACAAACATTGGCCTTGGCTATGCCTCGGGTAATGAAGATTGTTTCGGTCTTCACTGTTGGCTAAGGTGATGTCATAATTGATCAATTAGGTGTCCACATCGCTCATAGGTCATTGGCTGTGGTTTAAAGACAAATTACTCAGGAATGTTTGTGGCCCAGTGCTGGTCTAGCCTGTTCTGGTTCTTGAAGCTGTCAGCAGTTTGAGCTTTTACCACATGATGATTCAGATGATGATAAAGATAAATTGTGAATTGTGCTGGTGGTTGGTTGGAGTCCGGAGACATGAGTTGATGAATTATCAAAGTCCTTTAATGTGCAAAGTCCAAGACAATTGACATCTCTATATGAAATTGTTTCACAGGAGCAGAGAGAGATTTTCAGAGCACTTCAACTCAAATATTAACATCACTGGAGGTGCCTATTCAATTTGAATTCAAGTTATATTAACTTTGAAAGAAGGCACACACAGGGCAAGGCAAGAACAAAAGTCTGTCCATAAATGGATGCTGAACAAGCAGGTATGTGCATATTTAGGTGGGAGATAAGAGCATGAATTTATTATGTAGCACTACTTGAATTGAATAACTTTTTGTTGTCATCTATACTCTCATGATGCTTGACAGGCATCCAAGCGAGGGAGCAAAGTCAATGAAAATTACCAGTTGAAGCAAATCTGCACCGATCACGCTAGGAAGCAGCACTTTATAGCACCTAGGCATAACACTTGATTTGAAATTTGTGATTAAAAGTTTGCGGTTGTGAGAAGTTTAAAGTGCCCTGAAAGTGCTCATTAGTTGATGAAATGGGTATATTGCTTACATGGACTGATGCTGTCAATATTCAGAATAGAGATGTCAAGTGTTTCTATCATCATTTCATGAGTGTCTGTTATGAACCTGTGTTGCCATTACCTGCTCACCTGTGGCTTATGTCTGTGCAACTGGGATGATTGGATGCTGGACATTGGCACTGGGACTAGGTGATGTTAATGAGTCCTCAGTGGCAGTAAGAAGACTGATTGATATGTGGTGCAGTGAGGAGTCTGTTCAGGTAACATTTTTGTAAAGTTTGAAAACACAGGAAGGTGACTGATGAGTAAGTTTCTTGTTTAACATTATGTTCACATCACGACACAGTATGTGGTTAGAACATTTAAAATGCATATACCTACGCAGTGGTTAGGTACCGCATACACTAATACAATTGATGACACTTGGTAATAATGATTGTGGGAGGTACAGCTCTGTCTCTTGTTTGTGTTTTTTTTATCCTGGGCACTGGAGCTGAAGACGTCTGACCACCTGCCACGGTGGCTATGCTCGGCGATCTGAAGTCCTTTGAACTCTCGACGATCAGCGCTCGGGACGACTCGGTCAGAAGTCGAACGAGTCGGGCAGCTGGATGTCGAACTGGGGGTCGGGCTCGGGCCGCGGGAACGGGTCCGGCTCGTGGAGCGGTACCGAGGGCAGCTCGAACCCGTCGAACTCGATGAGGCCCAGCTCGGGCTCAGCGGCGGTCGTCGGAGGCGGTCTCCGCTCGCTTGGCGGTCCCAGGAGTGCGGCCTCCGGCAGCCGGTCCAGGTCGCAGCACTGGCCGCCGCCGGCCGCGCACTGGTGCGGCGCCTTCGTCTCCCAGCCGGTGATGAGGCCGCCGCACTGGCCGGCCGGCACGCAGTAGCAGCGCGCCGGCGCCGCCTCCGTCCGCGCCCCCAGCGCCACCACTGTCAGTAACTGTAACGCCGCCACCAGCATTGTGGGGACCCACTGGCCGCTCGGCCGACCGGTCGGCTCATATACGGGCGGGCCGGCCGGCCGCCACCACGTGACTCACCGCGTCACCGCCGCCCCGCCCCGCACAGCGGCCAAGTGACCAGCCAGCGTTATAGGTAATGGTGATGCCTTTGGTGGACGCTGCTAAGCCGGTCAACAAATCGCGGCGCAATGGATAAGACGCCTCAGCCCTTCAGCAAAGCGCCTTGGCGAGACGTGTGCCCTGGGGAGTAACACGTTGGTCCGTGGTCAGGTCGGGTCGCTGAGACTGTTACCAAGTATTATCACTTAGGAACCCAATTGTTTTTTCTTGATGCCGGAACCGAATTGCTCTTGATGTCCGAACCGAATTTATGGGGTTAAGAATTAAAATCAGCTTTGTATGGGACGGCAGTTTATCTGGGGTACCTGGTGTATGCTATCTGACGTAAAGTAAGGTTAACTGCTTTCGATGAGCAAGTTAAGCCTTGTCCCGTGTCGAACTCGCCCGAGTGTCAACTGAGTTTTAGGCTAAATCCTATGTTGAGCGTGAGGGTAACGACACTAGCACCATTTTGTTCTCATAAAGATGGTGTTTTCTATTCTAATGTTAAATTCTATGGATTTACACCTGAGACCAAATTTGGTTCAATTCACCGATACTGAGCGCACAGCTAGTTGTCTTGTTTGTGTAGTTGATGTTTCACTAGTAGGTATGGTACAGTGTGAACTGATATTCACGCCCCAGCCCCCTCTCCCTCTCCTGTCCTCGCCGTCCCCGTTTCCCCGGTGTAACTGGACACCGTCTTGGCCTCAGAGTCGGCCGGCGGTGACGACGTTGCCGCCGAGCTGGAGAAACAGCGCAAAGCCATGGAGGACGACTTCGGAAAACGAAGGGCCAAGTTCAAGGAGATGTTTCTGCAAAAGGAAGGTTAGTTGCACCCACGTTTTTGGTGCGGTGATGCTTACAATTTCTCATTCGGAAGTCGTCGTTTTTGAGACACGAAGTGGAAAAAAAATATTGTGCCGTAATTTGAGGAGCTCCGAGGAGGTCTGGACAGTGACAGCTCGACAAAATTACCGAACGATGATGCAAGTGCAGTGTGTTCTGTAGTTTGCAAAGCGTTAAGAGCTCAGTTAAGAACTGAGCTGACCAGACCAGACGAAGTTTGATCTTGCCTAACCAAAGTACAGGGCTGGTGGAAAAAATCCGCCTTGATTTCACTGTCATGCAACCCAAATATTGGCTTTCCGTGTTTGCGTTTCGTATGGCTTCGTAAAACGGTCATGGTGGAATGGCATTTCTTTGGCCGTAGAATTTTAGATAAATAACATCTATCTGCGTGCAGTTTTTCGATGTTATTGGTGATTGTTGCTCATTTGCTTCCTGTTGGTCTGTTTCTGTCGCCCTGTGACGCGTGTGTCGGGTGTGCTGGGCGTGCAGAGGAGCTGAAGCGCGAGCAGCAGCGGGTGACCGAGCTGCAGAGTCTGCTGGACGACTCGCGCACCCAGCTGGCCGTGGCCGAGGTCACCTTCGAGAACCAGCTGGACGTGGAGCGCAGGAAGCACGCCGAGGAGATCGCCTCCATCCAGCACCTGGAGAAAGGTGGGTGGAGGGCTGGAAACCGCCGCTGGGTGGGGACTCTGAGCACCCGCAGGATGGAGTAAACGCCCCCCCCCCCATGTCGGTTGAAGACTCCGTGCTCCCTCCGCCGGGTGGGCACTCGGAACCAACACCGATGGCGGGCACTGACTGAGGCGGTGTTCACTGCTCTACACGTTCGGAACCAGCCAGGCTCTAGTCTGACGTAATTTGGTTTGCTAATCTGTTACATGTTCCTTTATCCATTCACGGAGAATTGCTAAAAGATGTGGGCGTGGTCAGGTAGTCACCGACTCACCATTGCCCAGTTCTTGTGGGACATACTAGGAGGCTCGTTTCGGCTTAAATGTATTAGCATTTTCAGTGAAAACGGCGTGCTGCGTAAAAGAGCAGGTAGTGGAAGCGGCTCAGCAATGCGCTGCTTGGACACATAGACAGGTCAACAATGTGGTCGGTTCCCGGTATTGTTATTGTTGCCGACGCGCTGTTGTTTGTATCTGATGCGGGGCAGCCCGTACCGACCCCAGCTGCACGGAAGAATTATGTGCAGTGCACGGTGCACCTGAGTGGCCAGAGTCTGTACACGGCGTCACTAATCCGCCGGTGACCTAGATCAGGCCCTGCGTGATTCATACCTGCGCCGGCGGGTACCTACGACTGCAGACGGCTCCCCAGCCACGGAGAGCACTGTCACGGACGACGCAGCGGGGCTGGCTCGGTCCATCGTAGAATGGATAACACATGTGGCTTGTTACCCCTTCTCTTCCTCCTTGGCTATAACAAGCGGACTCGGTGAGATAATCTCCCGTCCCTCCTGCGTCACGCCGCTGCGCTGTCCTGTCCGCCGCGTCCTGGGTCATTTCTCGCCCACTACGTCAGCGCTCTGGTTACTATTCAGATCACCAATGGGGGCGGCGTGAAACGTAGCGCCCGCCCGCCCAGCACGAGATGCTTCGAGCAGAGTGAAGGGAGGGCGGACCTTGGAACACATCGAGTGGTGCTGTGAAGGCCGGCGGGGAACTATACATGGTGCATACGCTGGCCGAACCGGGCCAACACTCGCGGCCCTGTAATTATGGGCGCTATTGTGTGTCGTCCGATGAAGCCTATCTGCCAATGACTCGTCAAATGCCACACCGCTGCACTGTCGGCTAGTTTCCAGGCGGAGTGGCACGTTTCAACAAGCAAACATAAATCAACTTTATTTGATTGTGTCGAGTCAATGATACTGGTCAATGGGTCAAAATGACGTTTGCTGATTTCTGATCGTCTCGGCCTTGACGTCACCCGTCACATTACACATCAGTGACACTGGCACAGCCGTGGCCCGATGCAAAATACTAAGCGAAGTGCTTTCGGAATTATTTTAAAACAGAACCAGCGGGAATGTCAGGGTGCCGCTGTGTCCGTCCGACACAGCACTGGTTGGTCCGATCCTTCAGACCCAGCGCAGGCCGGTTCATATTGGTCCGACACGGTCCCGGCTGGCTCATGTTATTCCGACACGATGCCGGCTGGTTCATATTGGCCCTAAACAGCGCCGCTCGTTCCCGATTGGTCGTGGCGCAGCACTGGTCGCTCGAGGTCGGTCGCCGTGGTATGCGCCAGACCGTGACCGTGATTCCGGCTGCTCCGTCTCGAGGGGGGGGGGGCGGCCGCTCCGTCTCCGCGGCCGGCCGCTCCGTCTCACGGAACCGACCGCTCCGTCTCGGCGGCCGGCCGCCCACCAGGCAGGCAGAGCCGCCGGAAACGCTGGCGGCGATCGGATCAGACTCACTGCGTCACACATGGCTGGCTCGAACCAAAACATTCCACGTCATATGACGTCATACAACATCACGTATCGGCAAATGCTCTATACCAAATATTTGGTGCGCCGTATACGCTATGCAGTATACACTACAGTATGGGGACGTGGCACAGCTCTAAGGCGCATATGGCGCCGCGCGCCACCACCAACCACCCACGGGGCGTCACGGCGGCTGATGTGGGTCGGCGCTGCTGCGGTTGTCGTGCGTCGGCGTCACGGTCGATGGCGGAGACCTGTTGCTGCCGCCGCGTCAGTCGCTGCCGGTGGTGCCGGTGGCGGCAGTGCGGTGCCGGCGGCCGGCGGCGGCGGTGTGACGGCCTCCTATCGCCGCCGCAGCGATCGATCGGCGGCTGCGCTGGCACCTGGGTGACACGGCGCCGCTCCCCAGCTGCTCGGCTGTGCACTGTGACGGGCCGGCAGAGAGGCGAGTGAGGCTAACGCCGGGAGAGTCTCCGGACGAGCCGCGTCGGAGATCGGTGTGATTGCGTGGCACAAGGCGCTTCAGTGCGCGGTGAGTGTGTTTCAGTGCACGGCGCAGTGTGTTTGAGTGCCCACCGTCTGTGTTGACTGTTGGCTCGGCCGCGGTGCGTTGCGTGCTGTCAGGGCTGCCGGCTATGTGATCGACTCCGCCCGGCCGTGCCGCTGCATGCATGAATCACGGCTTAGCGGGCGGGGCTCGGCGGTCTCTGAGCGCCGCGCAGTCGTGCTGCCGCCGATCGGATCGTGACCGGCAGCTGGCGGCGCTGCGCGGCGGGCTGTAGTGCTCCGGTACGGAGCTATCTACCGCCGACCCCACGGCCTGATACGCACTGCAGGCCACCGGACGGACACTGTCCAGTCCCCACTACCGTCGGTGATAGAAATCGCGGCGGCCCCTGGCGGTCACGCTATCGCCGTCGTCCGGCCGCGGCGGTCGGAAGCTCCCCGGTCCGGTCGACTGGCCGCCCGGCCGCCGCGCCGGATGTCTCCAGTTCGGTGGTAGTTTCCGCGGATGGCTGCGTTTCTCGGCACCGCCTCCGTACCGCCCTGCGCCGGCCGGGTTTTCCACAGTGACTGCCGCCCGGGTTGACCGACGGATACCTTGTGACGTGTTTGTCGTCACGTCCTTTCTGTTTTCCTCCTGAGACAGCGGCGCAGGATCCCACTTCCCGTCCACAGTGGGCAGTCCGTCATCCCTCCGCACTCAGTTGGGACGCGCTGCTCTCACCCGTGTCTGCCTTTCCTGCTCTTTTCTTCCTGCTGCCGTAGGGCTGTCTGATATCACACCTGAGCGATGCCCTGGTCGATGCCGCGCCGCCGCTGTTCCCTGACCCGGCGCCTGCGCCGTCCCACAGAGCAGGCCAGCTCGTCTCTGGAGGACCACGCGGCGCGCTACCAGACCGAGATCCGCCAGCTGCGGGCCCAGCTGCGCGCCCTCCAGCAGCAGCAGCAGCAGCAGTCGGCCGAGGAGCCGGCCAGCTTCGGGCCGCACGTGCTGACGGCCGTCACCAAGCAGCTGGCCAAGAAGATCACGCTGGGCGGCGCGGTGACGTCGGCGAGCGGGGGCGGCGCGCCTGCCTCGCCGCACGGCAGCCAGGACAACCTCGACCAGAGCATGAAACGGGTGAGCGGCAGGGCGAGCGGGCCGGCCTGGCGACTGGGCTGTCTACATAGCAGAGTTAGACGTGTGATAGGTCCCGGGTTCCGATTGATAACTAGGCTAGTGATTTTAGATAATTCTGGACTTTTATCGTTACTTTTGTAGCAAGTTCCAGATGCTTAGATGCTTGTATTTTATAGCCTGGTTTATTTGGTCTTAGTTAGGATAGTCATCTGGATATATCTGTCATTGTCCGTCACCCAGAAGCCCCCACTCTGGCTGACTGGATCTGTCCGTTTGGCAGATGCAAGCTCTGTGCGCTCTGTGTCTCTGTGAAGGGCTGAGTTCGGGAGGGAGAGGTGAGGGGCGACACAAACGCGGTAGTAGCTCCATATCTCTTTGATCCTCTCTGTGCGATCTGTATCTCTATGACCAGCCCCCTGCGCTCAGTGTCTCTATGACCAGCCCCCTGCGCTCAGTGTCTCTATGACCGGCCCCCTGCGCTCAGTGTCTCTATGACCAGCTCTCGGCGCTCTGTGTCCAGTCTATGACCGGCTCTGGGCGTTCTGTGTTTCTATAACGGCCTCTGCAGCGACTGTATGCACTCAGTGACCGGCTCTGTTCGCTCCGTCCGCAGGCTCAGGAGGACACGGAGATGATGCGCTCGCTAGTGATCCCGCTGGAGGAGGAGATTCAGGCGCTGAAGCAGAAGCTGCGAGCCACCGACGCCCAGCTGCAGGTGCAGCTGACAGCCCGCCAGCAGCTGCTGCGCGCCGACCAGCTGCTGGGACAGCTGCGACAGGCCGGCCAGCTGCCCGAGCTGGCCGAGCAGCTGCGCGCCCAGCTGCCGGAGGAGGCCGACGGACCGCCGCCGGCTGAGCTGGTGCCGCACATGCTGCTGTACATCTCCGTTCTTGAGTCGCAGAACCTGGCCGTGGGCGAGGACCTCAAATACGCCAAGTGAGTGCTAATGACCGTTGCTGGGATGGCGTCCCGTTTGTGATTTTTCACCGTTTCATGTTCACCTCTGCGCTGAACTGCCTCTACCTCTCTATGTGTGGTCACTGGTAGTTACCTGACCCTTGCCTCTCAGACATGTAGAGCCAGGGCTGTATACTCTCCCCGTACTATGAGTTTATACCTAACCCCACCCCTCACGCAGGTACCTATATCCAGAGCCCCCAGCTCCGTCCCTTAGCTTTAAAGCTCCCTGTACTCTGTACCTGACCTTCCACTCCCCAGACAGGTAGAGCTGGAGCTGTATACTCTCCCTGTACCCTGTCCCTAACCCTCTCCCTCGCCCTGTACTCCCGTACTCAGTACCTGACCCCACCTCTCAGACAGGTAGAGCCGTAGCTGTGTAACTCTCCCTGTACTCCTGTACTCAGTACCTGACCCCACCTCTCAGACAGGTCGAGCCGTAGCTGTGTAACTCTCCCTGTACTCCCGTACTCAGTACCTGACCCTTCATCCCTCAGACAGGTGCAGTCCGACCTGCGGTCCCAGCTGGAGCGGGAGCGTCAGGCCGGTCGCCAGGCCGCCGAGCAGCTGGAGGAGACGCAGCGCCAGCGGCCGCGGCGTGCCGACGGATCGGCGCCGTCCGTATCACCGAGCGCCAGCCAGCGCAGCCTGGACCCCGACCGGGCGCAGGTGGGAACGGGGAGGGACGGGCCCGGGGCAGCGGGATACGGGAGGGACGTGCCCTGACCAGCGCAGCCTGGACCCCGACCGGGCGCAGGTGGGAACTGGGGGATGGGCCCGGGGAAGCGGGATGCGGGAGGGACGGGCCGCAGTCAGCGCAGCCGGGACCCCGATCAAAGACAAGACGTGCTGACGGGGAGAGATGAACCCCCAGCCGGCAGGGACAGCAGAGGGGTCTATGTTCCGTGGGAATGTTCGGCTGTGTCTGTGCTAGTGTATTCAGGGCAGTAGTTATTTCTATGGTGACCTTAAGTCTATATTTGTCTGTTTCGAGAAGCGTCAGCTCATGATCAAATGCCTCGTCTTTGTACCTGGATGCTGGTGTATCTGGAGTTTTTATGTAGCAGTGTGTAGTAGTGTGGCTGTGACAGCGGAGCTAATGACACTTCTGGCTGTTCCTATAGCTGCAGGACGGCCGGCTGTACAATGACCATCGCCACCGTTCCCCCTGACGGTGTCGTTTTGCCCTCCCTAGGCGGACCCGGAGCCGGTCGGCCGGCCGGGCAGCTCGCTGTCGCTGGACGCCCTGGCCGCCGACTCCGGCTCGGTGAGCAGCCTGCGGCTGGCGGCGGACGCGGCGGCCGGCCGCGGCGGCTGCGAGCGCTGCGCCAGCTCCGAGTCGCAGCTGCAGCAGCTGCAGGCCGAGCTGAAGGCCGCCGAGAAGCGGCGCTCCGAGCTCAGCCGCGCCCTGGAGCGCCACCAGCAGGACCTGAGCCGAGAGGGCCGCTACCGCAAACAGACCGAGCAGCAGTGGCAGACGCTGGCCGAACAGAGCCAGAAACAGGTGGGCCGACGCCGGGCGGCGCGTCAGATGGCATCCTAAACACGAGGCGGGGCCGTGTGTAAATTTATTGTGTTGATATCACTTTACTGAATATCAGCATCGGTGTTATGTGTCATATTGTCATTGGCTAACATGAGACACAACTCACACATCCATTTTTGCATCTTTCATCTAACCCGTCGGACGCATGGGCGCCGATGACCACTGTAGTCCGGGCGCCCAAAAAAAACCAATTCATCATCATCATCACCCGTCGAACGCCACTGTTGTCAGATCGGTGAGCTGCACAAGACTGTGGAGGCCGGGGAGAAGCGCTACCACGAGCTGGAGCAGCGGTACCGGCGCTTTGTCTCCGAGATACAGGACAAGCTGCGGAGACTGACCGCCGACCGGCACCTGGTCCAGCAGGAGCTCAACAGGTCAGTGCGGGTCACTGAGTCCAGGGGCCGAAATATGTACCGTCCAACAGGAGCTGAACACTGAACAGGTCAGTTTGGGCCACTGGCGACCGCTACACGTCTACGGCGGTACATGACTGATCTGTTATCCATCAGCCATTCAAAGCATACGGGTCATTCAGTGTTGCCTTAGCCGTGGTTCTGCCTGCTATGAATGCCTAGTCCGTCAACAAAGCCGGTAATAAGCGTGGGACAAAGTTCTGCGGTGAATCGCCCCCCCCCCCCTCCCTTCGTCACGAATAGGTCTGCATTCGTGCCTTTGTGAATACTATACATAAATGGATGTGCGCTATTCTTCCATTGTACTGACAAGCGTGCATTGTCGGAGCTACCTTTTGTGTCCCTCTGTCGCCCTAAATGGGTTCCAGGAACCCGGTTAGTACGATGCGTTGTTTAATGTTCAGGGTGTGGCGAAACGGTTCCGTCACGGCTCTCGGCTGTGAGGGTATAGCTGTGTTGTCCATTTATGGCCCGTTGTGACAGTTTAACGTTGTGATTCCGTGACGGTCCGCTGTGACGGTATGGCGGTATGTTTCCGTGACGGTACAGCGTTCCGTGACGGTCCGCTGTGACGGTATGGCGGTATGTTTCCGTGACGGTATTGCGGCTTGTATCCCTCCGTGACGGTGACTCGTTCCGTTCCACCCGCTGTGCCTCTGTCGCCAGGTTACAATCGGAGAACGACACCCTAATGGGCAAGTATAGCGCCTGCTCCGGGGAGTTGCAGAACGAGTTCATCAACCTGCCCGACCGGGTCGAGGTCAGTCCGTGACTCCAGAGGGCAAATCAAAATAGCCGTGGGTAGTGTAGCTAGACGGGCTGATGTAGCTGATCAGTGTAGCGGCTCAATGTAGTAGGTGAGAGTAGTGAACCAGTGCGGTATAGTGCGGGCTTTTGTGACCAATGCGGTAACCTTTGACCAGTCATCGTCGACCTCCAACAGGTCAGTGGGGACCGTAGACCGTGGTATGTGCCGAGCGGTGACCTCTAATCGGTCAGATATGCTAGTCGGCCAGTCGGCCTCTGACCGTCGCCCGTCCGCCGCAGGACCTTCACGAGATGCTGCTCAAGTACAAGGAGGACCTGATTTCGGCCAAGATCGCGCGTGAGCACGTCGAGGAGACGCTGCGGAACCAGCTGGCCTTTATGAAGAACGAGCAGGAGGCGCTACAACACGAGAAGGACGCCATCAACGACGAGCTGGTGGCAGAGGTCAACAAACTCCGGTGAGCCCGACGGTGGGGAGACGGTGCGGAGGGGGACGGGGAGTTGAGAATAGAGAACTGCAGGGAGAGACGGTGGAAGGGTGGAAATTGAAAGAGACGGTGGAAGCGGGGAAATGGGGGGCGGGTAGTTGCCTGGCTAGCGGGTAGTCTTTGCGAATGGCTGGATACAGTGCCTGGTAAGATTCGTCTCGGATGCTCTTAATTTGTAGATGTCATTGCATTTCACCGCGTAATATTCCGTGAATTATGCTGATATACTTTGGTATCATGGGTCTTGCTATCATATGTTCTTTGAACGATGGCTCAGCGGTGAATCCGTCCGGTCCTGTGTCCCGAGCTGTGCCTGACCGGTGACTGACTGCTGAACTGTGACTTCTGCTGACCTCTGACCTGTGGTCTGCGCCATGTGACACCTCCCGACCGTCCGTCGGGGAGGAGGTGCTGCTGATGGACTGAGACATCTGACCGCTGTCCTGTCCCGTGACTGTCATCTGACTCCGTAACCCTCCCGACCGTCGGCCAGTGAGGAGGTGCTGCTCATGGAGAGCGTCAGCACGGAGCTGCGCGCCGAACAGTCGCGCCGCCAGGAGGCCGACGGCCAGCTGAGCGCACTGCGCGACCAGCTCAGTCAGCAGACGGCCAAAAACAAACAGATGGTGGCCGCCCTGCAGACCCAGCTCCAGGAGCAGGGCACCGCCAAGGTGGGTCGCGCACGGTGGGTGTGCCAGACGAGCCGCGGCCAGGGTGGGACCGAATCAGGAGCTGTGCAGCTAGTGCGACAGCTGCGGGACGAATGTTTAGCTGTCTGACCCACCGTTTTGAATTCACGTACACGAGCGGTCTGTGAGCTCGCATTTAGCTGTCACGGGTCTCAAATTTCAACCTATAGGGTAAGGGCGGGTAAGAGTACGCGGGCGATAAGAGTACGCATCAGCTGTTTCGGTTGCTTAGCAACGCGGGTTTGTCGAGTTCATGAAGTGACATGAAGCCGCCAGTGCGTGCTTGTCACCAACGGAACGTGGGCGTTGAGCGGCGACGCTGTTGAGTTTAAGGCGATGAATATTATTTTCGAGCGTTATGATATTATTATGGTATGGTACAATAATTTTGATACTTGGCAGTTGAGATAACGTACATTTCCGTGATTGTTGTGGGAAACTTGTGAGGTTATCTGGGGAAATACTGTGCTGTGCAATATTCTGTTTGCGAAGTTTTGCACAACGTTTCGGGGTTGTTTTGTGCGCGAATTGCATGTACGGTAAGAGGACGCACTGTTCAGGAGGGTAAGAGTACGCAGAATTATACATTAAATCGAATATACAGAAATATAAAATTACTAATCTATCGCTCAATGACGTTTGTTTTCTAGGTACATCATCAATGGAGCACTGTGATGCAGATGCGTACCCGAAATTCTTCAAAATACGAGTTATTCTCCCTTTTGATTGTACATTTTTTTAAAGAAACACACGACATGATTATTTCCTGATTTATAGACTTGAAAGATGTATTTTATGTTTTTCTTTTTGGATACTAGAATTAACTTAAGTGCCTTCTGAGTTTGAAGTTAAGCATTTGAACAGTACAAGCTGCATAGGTGTGTGTTCATATGCTTGCGTACTCCACCCGCCTGGCGTGCGTACTCTTACACACCCCATATGGTAAGAGTACGCAACTGCAGCGGTTCAGAAAATGTCAGTTTTAGACCACTTCCATTTACGCTGAAGGATCGTTGCCCCATGGGTTGATAGCTAATTCAATGAACTTTAATATTACCTATTTGCGATTTCTTTCTTTCAAATATTAAACAAATGAGAGCAAGAAATCCACTAAGTGCGTACTCTTATACGACTTCACCCTACATATCATCGACGCCTCACTGTATTCTTTCCTGGGTCCTGTTTCACGGCCGATAGCAGTACGCTGATATCACACGTGTCAAATTGGGTTTCCATGGAGACATCAACAAACTCGTATCTCAAACACTGCCACAATGACGTCACAGATGTGACGTCAGCTCGCGAAATGCGATAGCAGCGTGGTCAAGTGAAACGCCGCCCAGAATAGTGACTCCTACCAATTATCTCCCCCAGACCGTAGAACCCTTCCACGTATACCTGTCTCTTGTGAGCTACCCGCGCGGTGTGCGCCGGCGTCTGACCGCTGCGCCTCCCGGCAGTCGTCGCTGCAAGAGGAGGTGTCGCGGCTCAAGACCAAGGTGGCCACGCTGCAGCTAGACCTGGACAACTCTGAGGCTGTCCAGCGCGACTTCGTCAAGCTGTCCCAGTCCCTTCAGGTCAGGAACGAAAGGACGGGAGCATGTGTGGGGGATCCTGAAAGTAGGGTGTTTAGATGGAGATGGACTGAGTCTTGAAGGTCTGATAAGTGTGTGTCTGTGTGTACAGATGGAGCTGCAGAGGAGCAGACATTCGGACAGAGAGGTTCGCTTACAGTGTCTGTATGTCTGTGTGTACATGTGGAGCTGGAGAGGATCAGGCAGTCAGACACGGAGGTTCGCTGTCAGTGTCTGTATGTCCGTGTGTCTGTGTGTACAGATGGAGCTGGAGCGGATCAGACAGTCGGACACGGAGGTTCGCTGGCAGTGTCTGTATGTCTGTTTTTGTGTTAACAGATGGAGCTGGAGCGGATCAGACAGTCGGACACGGAGGTTCGCTAGCAGTGTCTGTATGTCTGTGTGTAGTGTGTACAGATGGAGCTGCAGACGATCAGACAGTCGGACACGGAGGTTCGCTAGCAGTGTCTGTATGTCTGTGTTTGTGTTAACAGATGGAGCTGGAGCGGATCAGGCAGTCAGACACGGAGGTTCGCTGTCAGTGTCTGTATGTCTGTGTGTCTGTGTGTACAGATGGAGCTGGAGCGGATCAGACAGTCGGACACGAAGGTTCGCTGGCAGTGTCTGTATGTCTGTTTTTGTGTTAACAGATGGAGCTGGAGCGGATCAGACAGTCGGACATGGAGGTTCGCTGTCAGTGTCTGTATGTCTGTGTGTAGTGTGTACAGATGGAGCTACAGACGATCAGACAGTCGGACACGGAGGTTCGCTAGCAGTGTCTGTATGTCTGTGTTTGTGTTAACAGATGGAGCTGGAGCGGATCAGGCAGTCAGACACGGAGGTTCGCTGTCAGTGTCTGTATGTCTGTGTTTGTGTTAACAGATGGAGCTGGAGCGGATCAGACAGTCAGACACGGAGGTTCGCTGGCAGTGTCTGTATGTCCGTGTGTCTGTGTGTACAGATGGAGCTGGAGAGGATCAGGCAGTCGGACACGGAGGTTCGCTAGCAGTGTCTGTATGTCTGTGTGTCTGTGTGTACAGATGGAGCTGGAGCGGATCAGACAGTCGGACACGGAGGTTCGCTGGCAGCATGAGGATGACGTGGATGCCTGCAGTCGCTGTCACGTCGCCTTCTCCCTCAGCAAACGCAAGGTACGCGGCTGACCGTAACGGAATATCGTATGTACAGATGTACTGAGTGTCTGAATATACGACTCAACGGCCAGCATTACTGCTCGGTGCTCACTGTCCCTGAGGGCGCATTCAGTTAAGACCAACGTTTTTACCATATCCAAAGCTCGTATTTGAATGTCTGAATGCATGACCGACTGGTCCCGTTTACAACTTTCGCTTGTGTTAGCTACTGTGATAGCCAGGCCATCCAGTTCGGTATATCTCGGTGGTCGACTGACCCTACCTGCCCCTGTCCCCTTCAGCACCACTGCCGGCACTGCGGTAAGATCTACTGCGCCGACTGCGTGAACCGCACCGTGCCGAGCGGCCCGAGCGGCACCATGGCGCGCGTCTGTGAGGTGTGCCACACGCTGCTCAACAGAGACTCGGCCCCCTACTTCAGCAGCGAGGCGCCGGCCGGAGCCGAATGAACGACAGTCGAGCTCGCCAGCCACACTGCCAGGACTCATTGTGCAGTAGACTCCGCCTGGCCGGGACGGACTGTGCAGTCTCACACCTGCTTCTGTCTGGGATGAAATGTACAGTCTGAGTGTCCTCTCAGACACCTGCTAGCCGAACCGATTAAACCGGGACAAACCGCTGCAGTAGACACCTCCTGGCTAGATCGACCGGGCCGGGACGACTGTACAGTCTCGCACATGCCTGGCCGGGCCGGGGCGATTGGCAAACTGTGCAGCAGGCACCCCTGGCCGGGCCGGCCGGCCCCGATCGCTGGGTGAGTGAGCACAGCTGTTCAGGTCGTGTTCCGTGGCGCAGTGAGATTGACTCGATATTCCTGCTGTCTTATTGCCGGGAGATTCCCCGCAGTCTCGGACGTGCCGCCCGATCTGTGGGACGTGATTTATGTGACTCACGGGGACCGAGCAGCTTTAGTTATATGTTACCGCTGTGGGTCCTCGGATAGTCATCGTGATGTACTAATCGTTTGTGGGTAAACTGTCAGTGTTCAGGCGGGCTTTACCTTATTCCGCCGGTTGTATCGAGCTTTACAGCAGATCGAGAATGACTGAGCGATGTGATATGGCCCGTGGAGTGCGCCGCGGGCCGATCTTCATTCCCGCGCCGCCGCCGAGTCCTTTGTCCCACTGCTAGTCCCTGGATCGCAGCTATCGGGCGCCGCGTGCTGCAGCGCCTGTATACCGGGCAAACAGCGCAACAGGCGTAATATATTTATTCAGGGTGGTTCCGACACGCGTGCCGGAATAAATATACAAACTGGAGCGACTCTGTACAGGGCGCGCGCCGTCGGTGCGGCGGGGCGGGGCGGGTCACAGTCTGAGCGCACCGGCGGCGGCGGGGGCGGGGGGGGGGACGGCTCACGGCCGCCGGTGCTTGGGCTGCCGCAACTTCCGGCCCTCACCGGAGAAGGAGCTGAACACGGGCTCGTCCGAGGCCGCCTGGAACACACGTCATACACAGCGTCAGTCGCAGAACCGAGGCCGAACCGGTGTGGGAGCCAGCAGAGACGAACAAGGAACAACACACGAAAGGCGAGACTGGGACGGCCGCAGTGCGAACGCTGGGCGGGGTAGAACATTACATTAGAGAACATTAGAGTAAGAAGCCTAAGGAAGACCGTTATGTAACTAGGGACAGGGGTGTACATATTTCAGCATTGAACGCGAGACTGGTACAAACATCTCACTGTAACTGAGCTAATACTGTCTGAGGTGGACATATTAGGTGACTGGGGGGTTTGAAGCAGTAGGAGCATAAAGAGACTGACACGGCTGAGAAGAGCTATAAAGAAACGTTGCCGACACTACAGCCGCAAAAGTAGAAGACATAATGTAAAGCAATAAAACGCTCGCCCTACTGGCTCAGTAGACCGAGCGCCGGGTACCCACCTCTGCGGGCTTCGGCGCTGCGTTTCGCAGGAAGCGCAGATAGCCGACCTCGTAGTCGTAGTCGGGGATACCCCGCACGCGCGGTCCGTTGGAGGTGCTCGCCCGAGGGGCGTCCAGGTTTTTCTGTTTGCCGTCCAACCTGCAGCCGCCAGGGTGAGTCAGGGACAACAACGGCAGGTCAACGACAGTAGCCGGCAAGCGAAAGAACGCTTAGAATTCACAAAAGCAAATTTTAAACTAATAACGTTATTCACATCAAACATCAAAATTCAAAACCACGAGCCAGTGCCAGATCTGTGGGCTATTGTTTATGAACAGTCGACATCCTTGCTCATTGACGCAGTTCGAGCTGCTCGCCCCGTGCTGCGTCTCACCGCAGTCCGGAGCCCTGGAACGGCACGAATCCGGTCGGCTCCGGCAAGTGATGCTCCTCTGGCGGCTGCTCCTCCTCGGCGGCGGGCGGCCGCTCCGGCTCCTGGTAGCCGACCGGCGCCGCAAACTCCACCTGGCGGCAGCGGACAGAGGCGTCACACAACATCGACACAGCGGACAGCTCGGCGTCACACAACATCGACACAGCGGACAGCTCGGCGTCACACAGCGGCCGGAGGCGTCACACAACACCGACACAGCGGCCAGAGGCGTCACACAACATCGACACAGCGGACAGAGGCGTCACACAACATCGACACAGCGGACAGAGGCGCCACACCCCATCGAAACAGCGGCCAGAGGCGTCACATACCCCCTGTTAGCCGACCGGCGTCGGCAGAGTCGCTATACAGTACACAGGACACACCACAAAACAGCGGTCAGAGGTAAACGGCCAACCAAATAAACGGCGGCCCAGAGGTGCCACACATCACCGACACAGCGACCCCTGGAATCCACTGACCAAAGATGGCACATGGGTTCCCCTCCGGGAAAACAGAGGCGTTCCCGGCAGGCGCCACCGGCTCCCGCCGTCATATCCAGACAGCCGGCCGGCTGGCAGCCGCCGAGCCGCTCAGCCCCTGCGAGTCCACAGCGTCCACCTGCCCGGCGCGCCGGGAGCTGTCTAGTCGACTCACGTTCATGTCGCACTCGATGATGCTGACGGCGCGGCCGGGCTTGGTCTCCTGGACGCAGAACTCGTACACCTTTGTGTTGTACGGGATGGCGATCACGTCCCCGGTGGTGAGACAGGCGAAGTTGCGCAGCGCGTTCTCCAGCACCGCCTTCGGGTTGGTGATGTCCAGGAAGTCGGGCGACTGCGGCTGGAACTTGGAGAAGGTGGCCACCGGCAGCGAGACGCTCTCCACCGTCAGCAGCGCGCCCTCCTCCAGCAGCAGGTTCCGCATCATCTGCAGCAAGTGCAGCGCCCCGTCAGACGGGCAGACACCGTCGGTAGGAGGGGAAGCAGTAGATATCATTCACGTTGTTGTGTGTGTGTTTTTTAGGCGAACTCATGAAAAAGACATACTAAAAATAGCAATAATTTGGTTTACAGCATTGCTGAGCGGATTGTATACAGATACCTATAACAATGCATGAAGTTCGAGCACATAGATAACAAACAACCATAGATCACAGTAATGAGAGCATGCAGCCAAATGAATCTACCCAAACCATCATCGGACCGGCACAAACGGACCAGAGCGGCTGTTTGGTCCTCATCTGGTTCGCACCAATCATTGACGGGTCTGAACGGGTCCCCGGCGTCCCGCCGCGGACAGTCCTCCGCGCGGTACGCACCCAGTAGGGCAGATAGACCTTGCCCTCGTCGGCGACAAACTCGAGCACGCCGCAGTGTGTCACGCGGTCGGCGCGCCGGTTCGTCAGCTTGAACAGCATCGGGTAGACCACGTTGAGCCGCGTCAGCTGGTCCAGCGCCGACGGAGGCATAATGACTGTAGCAGGAGCATGAGAACATGTGAGCAGTGACCAGTGAGTTGTGATACAGTTCCATGATAGCCTGGGGTGTGAGAACTATGGTGAGAAGTGAGAACAGGATAAAAATGAAAGCAATGCTGATATACAAATTAAACATCCTGATGGTGTAAAGAGATATACGCTTGTGAAAAGTATAGACTCACATGGAACATTGTAAAGACTATTTGCACACATTTTCAAGCAGCCTTATCAACAGGATAAATTCTCTTCTGGCACACTCACAGAACCACTATCTGCTGCCTTTACATTTAAGCAGAAGACACTCACTTTTGCCACCCTTTTCAACATCTGTGCGCTCCTGGCCAGGTAGCATGGACACAGAGTAGCAGCGATACTGGGTGTTGAATGGTCGCAGTGCATCCGGAAACATGGGGTAGCCAAACTGCAGACAATGAACAGAGCATGTTCAGATACATAAGTATAACTGTCCAATATGGCCATTGATCTCTAAATTACTATGTCCAGCAGAACCACAATCTGAATAAGACATGTTGCTAATTAGAAAAATAAAACAATGGTCAGGCAATAATTTGTTCCATAAATGACAAATCTCATTGCTCAGGCAGCTTTAATAATGGCAAAAGGAGAAAATTGAATATTTCTGACCTCCAACAAATAAAGGTATAAGTAAGCCTGGCATCCCAGGAAGATGCTAGATACTGTTGTAGTTTAATGTATATTTTTAGAGACAAGTAGAAAAACACGGAACAAATAGTGCATGGACGCGTTTTGATTATTAAATCTTCATCAGCATGACATAATCACAGAGAAAACAAGATTTAGCACACAAACATTCGAGCTCGGCACAGTGCAATCGTCTTGATTTTAAAAAATTTACTGTTGTAGGTTGTAGGTTTGTAGGTTTGTAGGGTACCGTCATTCGGGGTGACTTTGTAAAACTTTTGCTATTTTCTTCAATGCAGGGGAGATCTGAAAAGATATTTTGAACCAGGGTTTGTTCTAAGATACCAAATGGGGAATTCTGTGCATGATGGTGTATATCTGAATATTTAACATCACTCCCTTATATTTTATTTTTTTGGTTAAAAAATTATCATTGTCACACCAAGGTCGGGGTGACTATGATACCCCTCATTATTTGCATTGTAAATGAGTTGACTGGTCAAACAAGCACAGCAATGGGGGTGTCTATGATAGGTCTGTTTGTTAAAAAAAGTATTTTGCAGCAATGCAAACTTGATGTCTTTTTTCTTCAAAACATAAAGTGATCACAATTCACCCACTTTCGGACGCATGTGGTCACAAAACACTTAAAAATAACACTTTAAAAATGTCAAACTGTAACTTTTGTGGGCAAGCACAACTGGCAAGGAGCCAAACATGTCACAAATGGTCACATCTTCACGTCTTGTGTGGTTTTCCTTCTCACCAGGTACAATAACAGTACTCTTCCACGACTGCGGTAGCATCGTTCATTTCACTTTGAATGCATGACACATGGTACCATTTCTGGCAGTTTTCACACCCTTCCCACTTGATGTTCTTGTCCCCTGTGGCTCCAGGGGGGTTCCACCTCTCACAGATACTACACTTTTCCTCCTCCCCTGAGTCTGGCTCCTCTGCTGACTCGTTTTCTTTGTCTTGCTCAGCGAAGCTTCGCTTCTTTGGTTTTGTCCCTTGCTTTGTCCTTTTCTTGTGTCCCAGACCCTGATGGCTTGAGGTGCTGTGCCTGTACTACCATCCCTGCAAGAGCAGAGATCCTTTGCCCCCTTTTCCTGTGGTTCTGTGGTTTTCCTGTGGGCTATCATAGTCACCCGGGGCATTATCATAGTCACCCCGAATGACGGTAGGTTGTAGGTTTCTAGGTTTGTAGGTTGTAGGTTTGTAGGTTGTAAGAAAGGTTAGGTCAGGTCAGGATAGGTTTGTTTTGGTCTATATAGTTCCATCATCCCAATCTGGCATCTTCCTGGGATGCCAGGCTTACTAATACCCAAATTGAAATAAAGTAGGTAGGTACACTCGGGGGCAGACTGATGTTCCACCACTCCCTACCCATCAGGCTCCCATGGCTCAGCACTGGCCGCATGCCAATGGCAACACTGGCAGCACTGGCACTGGCAGGCAGTGCTGAGCAGTGCTGAGGGCAGGCGACACTGGCAGCAGCCAGTGCTGAGCCATAGGAGACCGATGGGTAGGGAGTGGTGGAACATCAATGGTAGTCAAAGTAGGTACGTACCTACAGCTTTATTTTTTTTTTAATTGAATGATTCAAATCAATTAAATTTATTTGATTAAATACAACTTTGAAACAATAATAAATGATGTAGTTTGCAGTAATTCCACAGATAAACAGCTCATACATAGGCAATTCAAATTACTTTAAGACATCCAATATTGAGATCCTCAGATGAGCATACATTGACATGGGAGTTATCCGCAGACTTGTATTAAATCACAAGCAGGCTAGAAAGAAGGCAAGTCACAGACATTAATGGCCCAAAATAGATGAGATAATAATTCTTCTTACCATGTTTGCTGAGAAACAAACGTATCTTATAAAAAAGCGGTTGACTCCTCAGCTTCGTAACTACAAAGCTCGTGCGAGTTTGAACAATAACTGAACAAACAATACGAAATAAAGAAGACGTGACAGTGAAGGATACAAATAAGAAGACTTTTCAAATCCCTGGAGCAAATAACTCTTTCTCCAACAAATGTCCTGTAATTAAAATTAACTAAATACTAATACGAGTCCAAAGTCTACTCAAAATCCTCCATCCCAAGGCCTCCATCCTGATCCAGCAAATCCCACACAGCAATACAGCGGGCAGGCTGCAAGTGGTTTGTTGTGCGCCAGATTTGTAGTAAAACACAGTCACAACAATCGATCAGCTGATACTGGTGCATCTTAAAAAGCTGTCAAAATTTGTAGAAAAAGATTTATTTCGTGATCAATCGCCCCATAACAGCATCAACAAAAAATAAGCTTTGATATTCGACGAAGAAATAATGACCTATACGTATAATGACCTATACGGCGTATGTCACTGTCCTGACAGTGACATACGCCGGCGCTCACCGCTAAGAGCGACATGGGTGCCATGAATCTCGTCATGTTATGTAGCCATGGATGAAGGAGAACCTTTCAGCCTTCAGATTCTTTCATCCATGATGTAGCATTGGACTGTGTTCGTTCCTCTCGTCGATACGCGTCGAATGAACTATACGTTGACCTTGAAAGGTCATTTTGAAATTTTGACCTCAGGTCAAGGTCATGACCTGACCGGAAAGGGTCATGTTGCATATCAGTTGATCCTAATCGTCGAGCTAAACACATCTGACGTGTTTTCACCGTTCTAGCACGTCTCTATCAAAAGTTATAGCCAAAAAAACTGCTGGTGACCGTCCATGACCTGAGATGACCTTACGGGCACACAGAGGGGTCACAACTCACAGGTGCATTTTTCCGATTCAGTGTGTCATGTTTACCTATGAACCAATGTTTGAGAGGGTTTTGAACGACATTCGTCCAAAAGATTCATTCGCATTTCAATTTCCTCCCATATGAAACCCGACCGGAAAGGGTCATGTTACATATCAGTTGATCCGTATCGTCGAGCTGGACACATGTGACGTGTTTTCACCGTTCTAGCACAATACAAAAGTTATAGCAAAAAAAAAATAAAACTGCTGGTGACCGTTCATGACCTGAGATGAGCTTACGCACACAGAGGGGTCACAGGTGCCTCTAAGGTCACAGATGTAAAATGGAGAGGTCGAAAAATTGACTTGACCTTAGATCACAGATATACCTAAAAATCCGAGATAAACTTTTAAACATAACATACTGTTACTCTTAAAGGAAAAGGGCCATCTTTAACATGGGGATTGAAACTGAGATAGCCATCTTGTAGCCCGTGTCCGAAAACCAATCTGTCTACCTCCTTACGGCCGATTTCGGCCTCCCTTCGTAGTTATCGGCAATTTTAAAAGAAAATACGCCAGGAATGCGTCCTTATCCCAGGAATGCGTTCTTATCCGACAATACAGCCACCCGCGGCGAGGCTTTGTTTTTTACCAATCAGCTCCAACCAGCTCAGCTTTAACCAATCAGCTTATCTGACACAATCCGACGAGTCTGTCTTCTGAACGCTGATTGGCTTGAGTGTGACGTCATCGCTATGCCATCATACAGTAGGTGCCGTAGAGAGTATCAACATAGTACCAATATGTTAAATAGTTTTAAATACTTTTTCGCGAATTGTGCACTTCTGGCACCAGCTTTAAAAAGAAAATGAAAAATAATAATGTCAAAATGAAAAACAACGATATCTTCATATTTCACGAAGGTGGCCCTTTTCCTTTAACAATCGCTGAAAGTTTCAGAGTGATCGTTCAGTCGGTATAGCTAAAGCGAGCCTTTGAAATTTTTCTGAGGTAAGGTCACTTGACGACTGACGTGACCTGGTGACCTGACCTTTAACCCTCGCCCGTAAACGGTGTTTTGCCACCTTCGCCCATGCAGGGGGCGAAGGTGGCAGAAACAACCGACGATGCCTGAAATGGATAGCAAATTCGAATTCAGGGCATCAAAATACCCCGAAAAGGCATACAAGTGCAAGAAGTCATTACAGGTCAACCGAGGTCACTGAACTTACCTTGACCTTAAGTGACCTTCAAAATGTCAACAGACATTGTGCCAATGTCAAATCAGCCAGTTGTGATTCTAAAACAATCCATCAGTGTGTCAGGTCAGTCGGCATTTATACCAATGTGAAGCAATCTCCAATTTAGCGTAAATCTGGCCGGAGGTTGTTCCCTTTATGACGTCATAACTCCGTGACCTGACATGACCTTGACAAAAAAAAAAACAAAAGTTGCGCAAAGGATGCCCCAGAAGGTACTGAAAATTTGAGCAGGCTATCTGAAACGGTTCGGCGTGTAGCTAAGAAAAACCTCAGGGGGCGTTGCACCAACCCCCCCCCCCCCCTACATGGGCGAGGGTTAACAACCCGGGTCTGAAATTTTCACATGTGTGGGAAAGATGTTTGAACAGGTGTACCAAAAACGGCGGCGCTGCGTGCCGCCGTTTTGGAGATATTCGCGGAAAAAAACTGAGGGGGGGGGGCGTAAAAACGCCCCCACCCCCTCCACCCAACACGGCGCTTTGTCCTGTTTCGTTTTATGGCAAGCTTATGATGGCCCCTGCTTCTGCCCTCTAAACTGATATCAAACATGTCCTTTAGGTAGGTATCCTGTAGTTTGGCCATTTACAAATTTGATAGCATCGATAAGTCTCCTCTGAGCCTTCTGTATTTTAGAGAAAATAATTTCAGCGACTTTAATCTATCTCGTAATGTAGATGATAGTTAGATCCTTCATGCCATTAATCAACATCATATTATGATGGTAGAAAATGACCTTATGCTCATGATACAATGAAATGATATTAAAATAAGTCCAAAAATAGCTCATATCCAACGCTCACCTCCAACGCCACATCCAACGCTCACATCCAACGCCATAGCTCACCTCCAACGAATTAATCAACATCGTTGCCTTTCTTTGCACTAGTGCAAAGAAGGGATAGGGATAGCACGAAAAAGATAGCTGACACTAGAAAAACAGAAAACTTTTGCACTTTTATACGTGTATGAATTGATACATTTCCATCCGAGGGGCCTCTTTCTGGCTTCTTGTACCTATTGTATCTGCCGCTACCCGCGCGATTATGTCCCGGCGTCGCTCCGCGTTACGCCGGCTAGGCCGCGAGTCTCCCGAGTACAAGACGCTCAACCGCTCGGTCCGTGCAGCCTTGCGCCGAGACCGCCGTCACGACCTCCAAAACGAGATCAGCGAGCGTGGGGTCAACAAAGTTTGGCAATGCATCAAATCAGTGATCGCTGGAAAGAAAGATGGTCCAAATATTCAGCCCGACCTATCTCCCGACGACCTGAACTCCTTCTTCGTTTCTGTCGGGCCCCGGATCGCCACCGAATTGAGCACCCAGAACATCAATACTGACCTAAACGTACGTCTCCCCCGAGTCGGCGCATGCTATTTTAAGCCGAGAGCCATCACTCTCGGGGAACTCGGACACACAGTGTTCAGCATGCGAAACTCCGCCGCGCGTGGCACCGACGCTATATGTATCCGGATGTTAAAAACTTGCTTCCAAACCATTGGCGACATTATTTTGCACATCATAAACACCTCAATCACCCGTTCCGACATACCTAACTCCTGGAAACACTCTATCGTCCAACCCATCTTCAAGTCTGGCAACCCATCTGACCCCAGCAATTTCAGACCGATCTCCCTAGTTCCCGTTATCATGAAAATCATCGAGCGTGTAATCCATCGGCAGCTCTATCACTACCTCTCCCAAAACCACCTTCTTTCGTCTACCCAACACGGATTCCGCCCTCGGCACTCCACTGAGACTGCACTGCTGTCAGTCACAGATAGCATCCTTGCCGCCACCGATAGGGGTGAGATCTCAATGCTGTGCCTCATAGATCTCAGCAAATGTTTCGACGTCATCAATCATGAACTCCTTGTCAAAAAACTTGAAATGTACGGCATTGAGACCTCCTGGTTTTCTGCTTATCTCCATGGTCACACGCAGAGCGTGTCCCTGAAAGACAAAACCGGCCGTAAGATGACCTCCCGACCGCTCCCAAACACCGTGGGCGTTTTCCAGGGATCGGCGCTGGGTCCCCTGCTTTTCACAATATTCTCGAATGACCTTTCCCTATTTGCTGGAGATGCCACCGCCTATCAGTACGCCGACGACACCCAGATATTGGTGAGCGGCCCACGCGACGACATTAGGAGCCTCATCTCGCGCATGGAGGCATCACTCGCGTCACTTAACGCCTGGTTCTGCGCACACGCCCTGAAAGTCAACGCTTCTAAAACTCAACTCATGGTATTCGGTAGTCGACAAAATCTACGTAAACTGCCTCGCTTCAAAATCTCATTCCGTGACGCTGAGCTCCAGCCGTGTACTCAGGTGGGAAACCTGGGTGTTGTATTCGACGGCGCACTCACCTGGGAGGCACACGTAGCCGAGCTGAGCCGTCGTTGCATGGGCGTACTGATCGGCCTCTCCCACGCACGACACTGTCTCCCAGACGGCATCCTCAAAACGATCGTGACGGCACTTGTCATCTCGCGCGTCCAGTACTGCCTCACTGTCTACGGAAATGGCTCCCGGAAAAACTTTGACCGGCTCCAAAAAATTATGAACTTCGCAGCACGGGTCATCTTCGGCCGCCGTAAATTCGACCACGTCTCTGGCCTCCGCGACTCGCTTGGATGGATACCTCCGAAAGCTATGGCCGATATTCAAACCCTCGTAACTGCTCAGAAAATAATAAGGAACGGCGAGCCCGAAGAACTAGCCAAGGCTATATAAACCAGGTAGAACGCTCCGGGAAAAAAGTTGGAAACAATAAATTAGTTGCGGCATTCCCTGATGACGCGAATGTGGGTCAGCGGCCGGCGGCCGGCGGCCGCTAACACTGTATGAGGATGCATGCACGGAACTTTTGCTTGTTGGAGATTGCGCTAGGCAGATAAATGTTAATGTTAGGATATGTTTCGAAAGTAAATTGAACGACGCTTCGAACGCCGTCAATGAATTTGCGATACGACGACTATTTGTTTAGTTAAAGCCGGCGAACTTTTACCTTCCGACCGCGCGGGGAGGCGATACGGTGCCACACTGACGGTTTTTACGATAACTCAAAATTCTTTTGAACTAAAGAGCTGAAATTTGACATGTACAATCTTTTGATCAAGCTGGATCTTCTGGTAC